TGGAAGGGTAACAGACAAGCCAATCTACAGCCATTTTGCAAGGGCACCATTTAAGAAATCAATCTGAAGTTTGTCACCAGTTTAATTTAGCCACAAACTCAAACCTGAACTTCATCATCACAACTACTTGAGGCTAATGGAGGTTTGTTTATCTGGAAGCAATTCTGTTTTTTGCAGCAACCTTTTACCCTGTACCTGTCTTATTCAGGATGCCCTCTGTGCCTGGAGCTGCTTCATCTTGGCAAGCTCCAGCATCTGTGACTGGATTTTCTGTAATTCAAGTGGCAGTTTGAAAACACGGTGACAAATATGCTGACAATACCTGCCTGTTTTCTTGGGCACTCTGTGATCCTGCATTTCTTATGCTCCCAAAGTTCTCACCAAAATCAAAAGGAGTTTTGCATTCACAAGGTACAGAGATGTGGGCTATAGTACTTTGGTATATTAGAAGTATCAACAGCTCCATCTCATCCTCACCATTTGCAGAGAACATTAATGCATGAATCCAGAATACTACACCATAAGATGTCTAACAGGAGGTTCTTTAAGCTCAGGATCTCAAAGCCATAATAACCAATAAAACTCCAGAACATCACTCTGAGGAAGGTATGGTTATAGCCAATGTACATAGGCCTAGAATGATGCACAGAGAACTTAAATGCGTTGTTTCTAGAGCCCAGCAAAAAGTTAACGGCAGAAGGAAAAGAACATGAAAAATAAAAAAGAAGCTAGGTCTGTCTGTTCTCTTTATTTGACTCCAGCTCCCCTAGCAGTAGAGCAGTAATGCAATCAGTGGGCGCATCTACATGAAATGCTAGAAGTGCAGTAGGCTAATTCTACTGTGCATTAGCATTTCGCAGCAAAAGCCATGCTAATGGGCTAATGTGCGATGGAATTAGTCTACTGCACATTAGCGTCACCTAAAAGACATGTGCCGGCACTACTGGACAGTAGCACCAATTACAGCTCATTAAGCTAGCACCTGTTATTACATGCCAGGTGAGTACTCCTCTGGTTCCCTCATGGTCACTCTGCTCTGGTCCTACTGCCCTGTGAAGCCTGCCAGCTCAAGCAGCCAAAACCTTTTATTCCAAGTTGCCACATGAGTGCCCTCTCAGGCCATCGGACTGCGAGTACTTCAGAATATGAACCTGCTAATTGCTCATCACAGATCACTCGATATATTGCACCATGTGCCCTAATGGTGCCTACTTTGCTGTAAAGAGTTTACAGGAGGTATTTAAGTGGGGAAACTGTGCTAGTGCAGTGACTCAAAGCTCCATAAATCCTTTCCTGCTATGCCTGTTACTGATGCCCAGACTTGTGTTCCTTTGGCAGGTGAAGAACTTGCTTTTGGGGAAAACAGACAGAAGCAGAGGGTAAAAACAAACTGACATTTGTGGGCTTTTTCCCAAAAGAGTGATACTTTGCTCCAGCACAATCTCAAAAGCTGAAGACACTGGCCAGGCTAATGGCTGTCCTGAGGCCTATTCCCTATGTATTCTTAAAAACCTGATTGCCCAAGGAGAGGGCAAAGGAGCTGGTTTTCTGACAGCAAGAGAATGTACAACTACAAGGAGGAGATTAAGTGAAGGCAAGAGGAGGAGAGGGGCAAGTATTGTGTTTTGATTGCAGGAAGTAGGATTAAAATGCAGTCACTGGGTTTGTAGTGGCTTTTTTTTTAAATCAAGGCAGACTTATAGCAAGTTAACAGCTCCTCCATTCGTCTTTCCCCTCCCAGCCATTTTCCTTAAATTCCCTATAGTGCTTTGAAGCATGAATTGATTCACTAATTTCTGTTCCAACCAAGACACATGGAATAAAAAAAAAGAAGTGCCCACGCCTATAGGTGTGCTGGTGATTTCCTCTCCCTAGGTGCAGCACCTTGCACTTGTCCTTGTTAAACTGCATGAAGAGAAACAAGGTTACAAAAGTGATATCAACCCTTAAGTATACTGCATGGCACTAAGTACAACCGGGTCCTGATCCCAGCTGGGCCTCTAAGTCAGTGGTTCTCCACCTTTTCAGATTGAGCCCCATTATTAGACTCAAGGCAGCCCTCAGAAAATACCAGCTCTTCCTTTTCACTAGTTTTTTGACTACAGAAAAATATTGGTGCAAGTCCTCTGTACCAAAAAACTCAGAAAGACCACAGGGCAGAATGGTTTCAACACTAGGGATTCCTATTTGAAATTCTGGGTTTTTCTGAAACATATGTGCACACCTAACTGTGCTAACATTGTGTGGCACCTTGTGACACCCTTGAAAGATTGTCAAGGCACCCGAGGGTGCTTTGGCACCATGGTTGAAAAAAGTCACTGCTGTAGGTGTTATTGTATTAGAAATTACAACAACATAGATTGAAAAGCCACAGATGAGGATGAAGGGACCAAGAGTTGTACATTACAAGTGACTATTTTGGAAAATATGGACATTATTAAGAAAATAATTATGAGTACATATACCTTCTTATCCTCAAAGTTCTACAAACTTTTAAGATTATTAATAAAGGAGGGGAAAAAATCCATGAACAAAATAATCTTATGTAGGTATGTGGGTAAGGGCAGAGGTACAAGAGATTTAACCAATTAAAGTATATTTCGGAATTAAGATTGCAAAAACAGAAGATACCCAATGCAAAACATAATGACTAGGGGTGTGCAAAATGGGCTGTATTCATTCAATTTGGATTTGGATTCAGCTCAAATCAGGGACAGTGAGTCAATTCATTGATTGTGCTTCTGGTCCACTTCTGGGTCTGCTGCCAAGTACGTTGGGGAGCCCCCCACACTCCTGTAGGATGCTCCACCTGCCCCACCATGCAGCATTCATGAGCTGCGCCTGGTACCTAGAGGTATATAGAAAAAATATTTAAAGCTATATCTATGGCCGAATTGCTGAATCTCTCTTAATCGATTCAGAGAGTTTAAAGGGTCTCCTGATTTGATTTGGCTTTGGAGATTCGGGTGCTGAATCAGGCCAAATCTCCACCGAATCAAAGCTTCGCACAGCGCTAATAACAACAAAGCCTGTGAGATCTATCTTAGAATGAGCAGCTATTCATATTTAAACAGGTAAAGAATAAAAGAGACAGGGTGTACAGCAGCTTTTCCTGTGAAAGAAGACTGTCAACCTTAGGAAGCAAGCTTTATGAGGTAAAGTTGAAAGAACTAAAGTTATTTACAGTGGAGAAAAAAAAGACTGTGTTGTGGTTTGATAACAGTCTTCAAATACCTGAAGGGTGATTACAGAGAAGGTAGAGATGGGTTTTTCTTGGCAGCCATAGGGGACACAGCTAAGAGAATTGGCCTCAAGTTGCAGCAGAGGAAATGTAGGTTGGAGATTAAGAGAAACTTTCTGACCCTGAGCATAGTCAAGCACTGAAACAGCCCACCTAGAGGAGCTAGAGAATCTCCAGCCCTGGAAATTTTCAAGAAGGTCAGAAAGACCTTTGGCTGGGATGGTTTAGTCAGGGACGATCCTGCCTTGAGCAGGGAGCTGGACTTGATGACCATCTAAGGCCTACTTTCCTATGAACCTTCAAAATCATCAGCTAGGGGTAGCTCGGTTTAAGATACGGTGTGAATGGCTAACAGATTCAGATTTTTGAAAGGCAACAGCAGTAACTGGCCACCTGATCAAAGTCAACTCAGCATTGAAATGACTCCAAACCAGCTGAAGGATACAATGAACTGGAAAGAGAAGTAAGGGGAGATTTTAACTAGCTGGGACTGGAGTGCTGTCTGTTTATTTACTGGGCCAATTTCATCCGTGGTAAAAGCTCCTTTAAAGGCAGTCAAGTTACAGCAAGGAAGGCTGGACTAATCAGTAGAAAAGGAAGGATACAAGAATGATTAGGGAGACAGCAATGAATTTCTCAATGTTAAACTGACTACGAACATCACGTATACCCATAACACCTCCACCCCCATAAATTCATAATCACAGTAACATTGCTGATTGGAAGCAGAAGTAGAGATTATGAGCTTTGCATTTATGCCAGCTACACTGATGTGGGTCAGGAATAGCTCTGTTGAAGCCCAGAGTGCTAGACTGGTAGAAGGGTGGAGTAAGGACATCATCATCACCCACTATGGATGGCTAAAGCAGAGTGAGGGAAAAAGGATATATTAGGACTTTTGGCCTTCTGTCCAGTAACTTCAGAGAGTAATATGCTATACTCTGCTCTGAAAGGGTATGTAAGCTTTCTTCCCTCCTCTTCCCCAGTCACATATATTCACTATATCTCCTACAATACACAACATTTTGCAACACTCCCACCAGGTTATGTCATCAGAACCCTTCAAACAGTAACAGTGTCTGGCATAGAGTTCCCTGGCTTCCCCTCATGCCTCTCAAGAACATCTTTATTTTTTATTATTCTCATGACTATTATTTCTCAGTGCACTGATGTTGCCTTCCTGTTTAAAATCTCTGTCAATGTTAATAACAATGAATTTCCCATGGCTCTCCTGCTGTTTCCTAAGGCTTTCAGAGTTGTAACTTGAACAGACCATATACAACATGGACTGTGGAAAGGAAATGGGTTGGTAGTAGATAATCAACTTTCCCACTAACACAGAAAATGACCATAATGCCAGGGCCATCATTCATTTAAGTGAATTTCATTAACTAGGCTTGTGGCAAAAAATTATCTCCAGCACTTTCCCATCCAGCCATTTCTTGCCAGCTCAAAACCACCAATAATGAGAAAGCCCTTAAAAGTTACCTAGTAGCAAAAATCATACATTTTGGTAATGTGGACCTTGTTTGTTTGCTTGCCATTTTATTTCCCCTCCCTTATTTCATATTAACATTCTATGCTTCCTCTCTTCACATGCTTTTCTCTTGGTGAGGCTCTTTAAAACGGCTGCAAAGGGGGAGGGATTGCCATGGTCATGAAAGCTTCATTTTGCAGAATGTGTCTGCCAGGTCCTACTGTCTGTCTCTTTCCAGGGGTGTAGTATCTCCAAGGTCCAGGCTTGCTTTTATTTCTTGTGCCTGTGCAATCCTGACAGCAGAGCTTATCTCCAGCAGTCTTGACTGAAGAAAAATTTACATCCTTTTGTTACTGCCATGAGGTCTATATACAAGCTCTTTCTCCTTGCAGTGGTTTCCTTTTCTTTTAATGGTGAGTGGTCCTTTTTCTCCGGTACAGTTTACAGACAATGATAGCTTTCAGGAGATGGGAGAAAGGAATGCATTATGGATTTTAGACTGCCTCTAACTTCTAAGGCTGTAGTTTATAGACTTAAAAAAGCAACCTATGAGATCTGTTTTTATAGTGTTGCTTTTGTCTTGTTTTTATTAATGAAAGCAGTATGTAGGAATGGTAAAAGTGGATGGATGTAGTGTACTAAAGACAGTAGAAAATTAATATTGCTAAAGAATGTTCCTGTAGATGTTCCCAGGTTCCTCTGTGATGGGCTAGTAATGGGACTGTGTTTCGCAAGACTGAATAGTAAGGAAAGTGTGATGTGAAAACTGCTTCAAATTAGGTACAACAAGGATCCAACCCCTGTTTCTACAATTAGAAGACAAATATTGATTCATGCTTTCTGATATATGCATTTTGCAAAGTTCTCACTAGTTATTTGACAAACAATATTTAAATAGCTTTTAAAATAAGTTAAACTATGTCAATATAAGTCAGAGAACTCAAGCATATACTACAAATGTTTACAATAACCTGCCAGTGTTTTCATATACAGCATTTAGTCAACATATACAATAAGGCAGCAGCATTAGCTTAGTAATGTTATTATGTATGAAACTCTGCTTCCCAAATGACTAACTTTCACTTTTCATCATTATTTATTTACTTATGCATGCAGTATTTGCTTACTTAATTCAATTCAGTAAATGTAACTTTAAAAAAATCTGTTTTAAAGCATGTCAGTTGAGAAGTGAGGCCTAATTTAAATGAAACCAGTAGGAAAACAGGTTTTTAATCTCTTTGAATATTTGCAATTTCTTTGTATTAACTTTTGCTTGCAAATTAAAACAAACTTTAAAACAAGGATCTAAGAGATGTCATTTCTATTGCAACGGCATTAAAAACTACAGCACTCTACAGGGAACCATATTACCATGGTTTAAGTTACATAAATAAATAATTTTACTTGGCGTATTTTAAGAAGTAATAATTATATCAGTAAATAATTTAAGAGGAGAAGATGGAGAATTCTTATTGTTGGATCCTGCTTGCTCTTTCCTAACTGAAAGGATAGTTTGGCAGGTTACCATCATCCACTTAGTGATTTTGCAGAGGGAAAGAAGAAAAAAAAGTGACACTACACATGGAGCAACACAACAGTTCTAAATGTGACTTGACATTGGTTTAATCCAAAGTCAAGGGGAAGAAAAGGAAATGTGGCTTAGGTTCACATCTGCAGTTTAGAAGATGATCACAAGGTACTCAGCTGTATTTGTAAACTTTACTCCAGTCTGTGGAAACAGAGCCAAAGCGTATTTTATCACATTCTCAAAAGGGACCAACCATTGAAAGTGGTGAGTAACTGTTTCAGTTACAATTTACAGTTTTACTTACAACATTTAGAGAACCTCTGCATTGAAGTTTTAATAAAATGTTGTGTTTCTTTTAGCATGAGATTCAGAACAAAAATGGAAGTCATTTGTGATAACCCCTAAGAAACAGAAAGAAACTTGAAGTTGAAATGTCTACTGTAAGTTACATGACTATTTATTTTTTCCTTCATTATACTGTAGCATATGTATAGTGTGTCCACTGGACACATGACAATTAGTACCAACTGAAGATTCAGCCTGTGTGTTTTTCCCTACGTCTGTTTTCTGTGTGTGAAAATAATATATATCCCTTTTCTAACGGTTGCCATCAGGTGTCTAAAACCATCAATTTGCTCAAATGCAAATTTTGGGCAATTATTGCTTAACTGGAAAATATCATCCAAGAAGCACATTCCCCACCCCTTTTCACAACCCTCCCTCCAAAAGACCTTTGAAACCATTGCCTTGACATTGTGAAACACATGCAATATATTTACAATCAACTTGTGCATGTGGCTATTTTATGGTTCTTAAGTGTCATCCAACTGATGCAGTTTAGTAAATAGACAGCAAATTATGAAAATGATTCCCATGCAGAAAATGTTTCTCTTATTTACACAGTAAGAATCTCTATGCCAGTACACTGCTGACCTCTAGTGGCATTGTAGATGTCCATCTAAATGATGATAAAATGTCATTTAAAGATAGAGATGAATGGTAGGGCTATGCAAAGCTTCGGTCCCTGATTCGATTTGGCAGAGATTCAGCCCAATTTGGTGGCCAAATCTCCGAATTCAAATCGAATCACAGGACCCTTTAATCTCCCCGAATCGAATCGGAACCCTCCAAATCAATCTGGAGAGATTCAGAAAGATTCAGAGATTCAGACACAGAGACAGCTTTTAATGTTTTTTCTACATACCTCTAGGTAGCAGGGGCTCGTGAATGCTGTGATGCTGGGGCTCATGGAGTGTCCCACAGGAGCACAGGGGGTTCCCCGGTGTGCTCGGCAGCAGACCCGGGAATGGACCAGAAGCACTTCTACTCCACTTCCAAGTCCACCAGGGAGTGTGCTGGGGGCCTCCCCTCACCCTCCCCAGCTCAGCAACTGGTGCCTCCTGGATCAGGAGGGCACCCAGGGTCCCCCTGCAGCCGATTGTCAAGGCGGGGGGTGCAGGGGCCTCCCATGCATGCTCCCTGGCAGACCTGGAAGTGTATTGGAAGTACTTCCCACTTCTAGGTTCACTGCCGAGCATGTGGAGGGCCCCCCTGCACTCCTGTGGGACGCTCCATCCACTTCAGCATCACAGCAGTCATGAGTTGCGCTGGTACCTTGAGGTATGTAGAAAAAACTGTTAAAGCTGTGTCTGTGTCCGAATTGCTGATTCTCTGAATCAGCATCGAATCTTCAGATTCAGATTCGAACAAATCGAATCAGGGACAGTGATCCAAATCAACTAATCGAATCACTGTCCCTGATTCAGGCCGAATCCAAATCGAATAGGGCCCGCTTCTCACACCCCTAATGAATGGATATTTCATGAAAGAATCATTTGCTCTAGGAACAATTTCCCTTTTCTTGGCTCATGACTTGTCCAAGAGCAGATGGTGGTTTCTTAGATGCTTATGTTATTTGAAAATATCTAACAATTTCTGCAAATAATTCATGCTGTGCAATTCATTTCTGTATAGTTTGTTGCAAGTACTCGATGCTGAAAGTATGAGCTATTCTGATTGAGCACCTATGTCCACATAGTTTATTTTGATTTCCTGTTGTATAAGCAATAATTACTGAAGTGAGACTTCTGAAGATTCGGCCCTAAATTCAAAATATACATTCTGCAAATATTTTGCATTGCTCACTTACCATTGCTGTTTGGTACTCCATTTGCTAAAGTCTCACAGAGCAGGTTATAACAAGTGGTAAGAACAGAGGGGCAATTTTTAATTAAAAGAAACAACAACCTAGAACACCTGTTTGAAAGTTTTCAGAAAGGGCTTTGGTCTATGGTCATTATTATTTTTTAAGTCCTATTTATATAATAACACTAATTAAACATATCCTCAACATGGGGAGAAGAGCACACAGGCTTCAAGGTATTGTAAGGAGTGAATGTCTAAAACTCAGTGCTCCCAAAACAATTTGTGGCATTGTTTTTTAATACGGATTTGAACTTCAGACATAAGCCATTTCTTTCTGAAGTATTTGAAGATACAAGATACAACATAAAATATACACTCTGTACCATATTCTGGGTACAATCCTGTGCTATTAAAATCAGTGAGACGCTTACCATTGACTTCAATGGGAGCAGGAATAGGTCACCTGGAACAAAGTGACAACTTCCACTGCTATACGCTAAGTTTATTTCCTATATTCTACCTATGCTGAGGTTTCCATCCTGTCCTGCTGGTAGTAATGTACCTAAAGCTGCTTTCCAGTTAATATGTATGGTTGGTCAATATAACCTGTGGGCACAGTAAATTAGTCTCCTTCTTATCTATAGTCCTAACCCAAATAATACAAATGCCTGATTTTTTAGTCTACCAGCCAAGCTGAAAAATTAGGGAAAAAATATTTGCAATACAAAATAAATATCTTAATTTCTTACTGAGCTTATTAAAAATAATAAGCTAAAGAAACATTTCAAATGTTGTTTAAATAAAATAGTAAACCATTTCATTTTGAAAATGTTGAAATTAAATGTTTATCTTTTTGGATTTTTTTTATGGCTTTTTCTTCAGCTGAAACAAATTTGCCTGCATCAAAATGGATTTATGAAATATTTTAAATAAACTCAAATTTTAACTTTTAGTGAAAAAAAGTTTTATCTAAAATACTTCACTCGTTTCTACCCAACCTTGCTAAATGACACTTGAAAAAAAATGTGGTAGTGCTGGAATGAGGTTGGCTTGTATAAAGGCTTGTATAAAATGTGGCTGTCTTCCACCACAAAACCACCACACAACAGGTAGTCCTTGCTCAGCAGCACAAGATTGAGGTAATAGATGTGGACGGAGGCAGCAGAGATGTTGCAGAAAAGAACTGAAGTGTTAATTCAGCAAACGACTTCATTTAAAATAAATATAAATTTAAAAAAGTCTCAAATAAGTCTCAGGAGAGAAGATCTGCATGACATCATTCTAGAAACGTACATGGTTTCTGTCTTGTTACTCAGCGTTAATGGCAGTGCACTGGGTCAGAGTTTCCTTCTCCAGAGCTGGGTATGAGTAGAGGGACAAAGGCAGCTGTAAGCTAAGTTTGTGCATTGCAACTCACAGGGCTACAAGGGACCAGTTTGGCTCTGGTGTAATTTAGAGCAGACTAACGGCTAATCTCAATCATACAGTACAGAGATCACTAGGGAACAGGCACTACAGCCCATCCCGTATGTCAGTTGTACCATGTGAGGATTCTTACAATCCAGGAGAATTATAGCTGTTAATATAGGGCAGCTTTACAACCCCTTTGAAGTGTCAGAGCAGCACCTTATCACAATCAAGATCTGGGTGTTCATGTCTGTCACATGTTAGAAAATTCACCAAGGCAATGGTTGCAGAACAGAAAAATTACCCTGAAACCAGCCAGTAGTCAGATTAGTC